CTGAGGACTACTTGCATTGTTTTATTAACAGTAATCCTGCATCAATGACACTTTTACTATACTTATACCCTTTATATTCAAGTTGCTTTTACTTTTCTTTAGGATGCATTTAATGCAATCAATTGTCTTTACAATGGCACGAAAGAATGGAAAATGATTGAATATAAATACGAGAAGATGATATATAAAGCGTGGGAGCCTGAGTACGAGATTGGTGGATATTCATTGATTGAAGTTGATTCCGTAGATCTTATTAAATATCCCAAAGTCAAGGATGTTCCTTGGTCCTTCGTTACTGTGAATGCTGGCGATTGTTTATTTGTACCTAAAAGTAAGTTCTTCATAAAATTATCAGGACGTCCTGGTCACAACGAGCAGGAGATTTAGTCAGGAATATTTATCATTAATTTTTATAGACCCGGAGCGAGGGGGATTCGGCGTAATATTTCTCGAAGTGATGATATTTTCCGAGGGGCTTTGCCCCGAGGAAAATATCATCACTGAGGGAAATATCGCCGAATCACCCGAGCGGAGGGTCTATAAATTATATATTATACCGAAAGTTAAAGAACTCACTAAGAGTCTAAATTCAGAATAAACTTTAAAACTTGCTGAATATTAACTACGCGAATACAATTTTTAATTTCTTATGTATACCTGAGTTTTTGACGTTTCCTCTTTAAAATATTTGATCATGTATCCTTTGGATCATTAAAGGTAACATACGTCTTGAGAATCTTTGGTTAAATCAAATCTTCTGTACGAAATTACAGACAACAGCTGGCGAACGCCATATTGTTTCAGAGCGTGGTGTCCACGCGTGAGCGTGGGATACTATAATATCCCACGGTGGATCTGCCGTGGGATATTATAGTATTTCACGCTGCATTGCGAAATCATGAATTTGAGTGAAATACCATAAAAATCACATCACGTGGTACAAATTTAATGCTGTTTTTTCTTTGGACAATTTGAATTTGAGGTATAATATAATTAGCTCATTTCCTGCTAGTAGAGAAAAATATAATAGCGGCTCAAACTGAATTTCCGACGTTTGGGGAACGAGAAAACGGCAAGTTGTTCGCTTTTTATAGCATTTACAAAGATAAAAAAAAAAACATGAAAAACTCCCACAAATTGTTTACAGGTTAGAAAATCAATTTTTATAATTTAGAATGGTTACAAAGGTTTAAAATGGCCGAAAGAGCGAAGATGAAAACATATTACAAAATAGAAAAATATTGAAAATATCCGAGAAGCAAAGTCTGCGAATGCAGACCTTGCATGTGTATATAATAAAACAGTTATTCCACTCACTTTCGTCGAATATGAGCGATAGCATCATCGGCGCTACGCGCCTCATCGGCTATCAGCCCATATTCGACTCATATTCGACCCATATTCGACGAAGGCGTTACGTGAATCTGAAAGGAAGTATGTACAGAATGAAATTCATAAAAACTTAAACTGAAGTTCTATGTGGAAAGTCAGCCTAGACCTAAGCCTTCTAGTCTTATTTATATTTTTTTAATATTCAGCGCTTTTTCACATGAAAAGACTGGGACTAGGTGATTTGGGGGCGGGGCGGAGGAAGCAACCCTAGAAGGCCTAGTAGATTTCCCAACAACAAGGCCAAAACTGCCCTGAAACTGCCCTGGTTGCGAAATGCCCAATTGTTGCGTTCTCAAACAGAATTATTTGCAACTTAACGGCGAATTTAGACCGATACAGGTAAAATAAACTCATTTATAGTATAAACTTACTATTTTTATTTGTATGCACGTCTAGAAAATCGGGTTTTTTATCATAAAGTTCGAAGCAACACTATTATTTAATATGTTGACAAGGTGTAGCCAAAGCACAAAATGAGTCATATACACAACTACATTAATATATATTCTCTCACAACTACATTAATATATATTCTCTCACAACTACATTAATATAATTATATTCTCTCACAACTACATTAATATATATTTTAGCAAGAAGCAGTCTTGTGTTTGTAAAATATACAAACACATATACAATCATAATTTATTAAATAAAACGGATACATATATTATTAGCCCGTACAGTACTGTATATAAAAACGTACATTGTTTACAAATGGTATATCCGTAATATTTGAACAATAATTTCAAAATCCTCATTCCCAATTCGCAAATATAGTTATTCAAAGCAAAACAGTAGATTGTCTTGCGAATAAAAGAATTATTATTTTGTGCTTTCGCTTCACCTTGTCAACATAATAGTGTTGCTTCAAACTTTATGATAAAAAACCCCGATTTTCTAGACGTGTATACAACTAAAAATAGTAAGTTTATACTATAAATGAGTTTATTTTACCTGTATCGGTTTAATTTCGCTATTAAGTTGCAAATAATTCTGTTTGAGAACGCAACAATTGGGCATTTCGCAATCAGGGCAGTTTCAGGGCAGTTTTGGCCTTGTTGTTGGGAAATCCACTAGGCCTTCTACAGGGTGTATAAAAAAAACGCAACCTCGGAATTTCCTAAGAAATCACTTTGCAATTCTTAAGCATAAAAGATTTTAGGCCCCTGGGAATTGAAATCGAATTGCTAATAGATCATATTACTGTTGTTGTGCATTAAATAAATGCATAAATTTTGCTTTATGCACTAGCGTGTGCAGTAATTTTGACAGTTGTGCTATTTTAAATACCCAGGCGCCTGAAATCATTTGTCTTTAAAACAATGTCGATTTCTTGGGAAATTCCGAGGTTGCGTTTTTTTTTATACACCTTGTATTTTTTCGCTTGCGTCAGGCTTGTGTCCTTCCTCCGCCCCGCCCCCAAATCACCTAGTCCCAGTCTTTTCATATGAAAAAGCGCTGAATATTAAAAAATATAAATAAAAATAGAAGGCCTAGGTCTAGGCTGGTGGAAAGTTATAAGGAACTGCCTACTCCGTAAATAGTCAACGGAACTTAAGCATTCAAGAAATATCACGGAACTAGTGGAGGAGTTCAATTCCTTTTTCACGACAGTGGAATTAAAGCATCAGAGTCTGCTACTGCACTTTTAACTAAATATAATCTACCAACCATAGACTTACCAGTACCTGCCCAAATTCCTGTGTCAGATCAATTTCAGTTCCATACGGTTTCATGTAGTGATGTACAGCAGATCACCATGTCTTTTTCCTCAAATAAGGCACCGGGATTAGATAAAGTCCCAATGAGTATTATCAAAGATGCCTTATCATGTATCCTCCCTGCGTTAACAGATATTGTTAATTGTTCATTGCTTACGTCCGAATATCCAACATTATGGAAGATGGCAGAAGTTGTTCCCCCTCTTAAAAGATGGGGATCATGAGATCGCAGACAATAATCGTCCTGTGCCTTTGCTAATTGCAGTATCAAAGATCTGTGAACGAGTTGTATTGAATCAATTGACTGACTATATGTCACAAAGGAAAAGATATACTGAACACCAAAGTGGCAATGGAAAATTACATTCTACAGAAACATTAAACATTTTTATAACAGATCAAATCTTGCCGTCTATGGATCGTAAAGAAGTTACGGCCTTATTTTTAATAGACTTATCCAAAGCATTTGATAGCTTAGATCATTCAATTCTACTAGTGAAACTTCAAACCATTGGTGTGTCTAAATCAGTGTTGGCATGGTTTAAAAGTTATCTATCGGGACGAAGCCAAATAGTACGTATTGGGTCGACATTGTCGGAAACATGTATTATAACTCGGGGGTACCTCAAGGATCTATTCTTGGGCCGGCATTATTTAACATACAGATCAATGACCTACCCAATGTTCCAAAAGAGTCCTCTTTGGAATCTTATGTGGATGATTCGAAAATCTATCTGGCATTTCCAATTCAGGATATTGAAACTGCTGCGTTTAAACTTACACAAGATATGGAAAGAATTACCGCATGGTACTGTATAAATAGTCTGCTAGTGAATCCAAAGAAAACGAAACTTCTATTACTGGGTACAAGTCAAATGCTGAAAAAACTCTCTGGCACAGATTTCCATATAACTGTTCTTGGTGAGAAAATAATCCCACTTCAGACGGTTAAAGATTTGGGAATGACTTTGGATTCAAGTTTGACTTACGACAAACATATTGTCGATACCGTCTCAAAATGTATCTCTGAATTATGCCAAATCAACAGAGTTAAGCATATTTTCGAGAAACACACTTTATCCCTTATTATAAATGCACTGGTCTTCAGTAAAATATATTATTGTTCCTCCGTTTGGTCGAACACCTCGAAACAGAATATATCAAAACACCAAAGCGTGCAGAACTTCGCGGCACGCGTTATTACTGGAATCAGAAAATATGACCATGTGACGCCTATCCTTCAGCAGTTAGCTTGGCTTCCAGTTGAGTGTATGTTAACCGGGATGCGGAACCTTATGACATTTAAGTGCATGAAAGGGTTAGCTCCGCCATACTTGTGTGACAAATTCGAAATGAGATTAAAGATCCACAGTGTTAACACCAGAAATATAAGGATAAGTTAGACATTCCACTGTATAATTCGGCTTCTGGACAGCGAACGTTTCATTATCGCGCAGTGTTTATTTGGAATGAGCTCCCAAATCATATTAAAGACATTGACACTTTGGACCGGTTTAAAATAAAATATAAACGTCATTTATTGCATAGATTTTTAGAAAGTAGTTAATATTTTTAGACAATTTGGACTTGTTTAAATTAGCATATAAACGTTTTTACTGTATGGATTTTATTAGGAAGTAGTTAATCATTTTTAAAGTGACATTACTAATAATTATAAAATTTTTAATTTGTGTTTGTTTGTATGTATGTATGTACGTATGTTTGTGGGTGTATATATATATTGTTTGTAGTATATAAATGATTTGTAATTACCTGCTGAAAAGCCCTTTTGGGAGCAGACAATATTGTAATAATAATAATAATAAAAAAAACTCGATTTCGTAGAATAACTGTTAAATAACAAAGCAGAAAAACTTTGTCGATGGACGGTTCGAATTCGCTGTGTTTGCAACGAATTCGAACCGTCCACCGACAAAGTAAGTTAGAACTATAATTGTCTGGAACATTTTCATGCATATTATTAATACGTTATATAGGATGGTTTCTCGTGATATTTGGATAAAACAAGACTTCAAAGACCTCAAATAGCACTCCGCCTTCGGAGCCGTGCTATTTTACCTATCTAAATTCTCTTTGAGAAACTGACTGGTGCATGTTTTATCCAAATTGCACTCGAAACCATGCTATTACCTATACTAACCATGGGGAAAATTTAACCTGAGTCCGTTCTCCTCTGGATAATAGCGAGTTTAGTAGTCAAGCGATGTTTCTATCAACATGGACGTCATGCAGATGGCCGAGTGCGGACTGAATTTGTGTCAGTTTGTGATAGTCTTCAAAACATCTGACGAAATGCAAGATTTTTAAGCGCTATGACGCAAAATGCCGCCAAAATTAGTTATGCTGTAACACTCAATTATTGTGTAGACAAGATTGTCACTTGGATAAGGTCTGTATTGAGTACATGCTCCTATAGATAGACCTGACCCTATTTATTTCTTTATTTCTTTAGCTTTGCCAACTAGGGCAGGGTCTCCACAACAGCATATGCCAATTACTGTGGGCCCTTTTTTACCTAACCCACCCTGTCAACTTTCCTTGTGGGAGGAAACCGGAGTACCCGGGGAAAACCCACGGCTTTCGGCAGAGCGTTGACTTTTACTCTTTTCACATGGGGACTGGGTTCGAGTCGCACTGAGAAGGTACTTAGTGAGACTCGAACCTGCAGCCTCAGAGGTGAAAGGCAAGTGCGCTAACCACTTGGCCACCCTATAGATCGCTATGTACAGTAACAATTAGATTACGAGCTCGGGATTTCTATGAGGTGATCAACTATCACCTCGTATAAATCGAGAGAGAGTAATCTAATTGTTGTAGTAGAATCAGAGATCAAACATATTCCATAAACTAATTCAGTAAATTGATAAGGATGCCGTTTTTTAAATGCGCCAGAGAAATGATTATTTTGCTACTCACTATATATGTATCGAGGAATAGATTAGCTAATCAAATTACAGCATTTGCAATAGTACACCAGTATGATTCCACTAAATATCTTTAGGTCATTATCATCAAGTCAATTCATATGGCAGTAATAATATTGCCGTGGCAATCCTGTTTTCTCGTCTGGATAAACTTGATGAGTACGATAACACTGGATGTGAGACATTGTCGTATGTTCCTTTATCTCAACTTGATGTTGACTGGAAATATCCTGGATATGGCAAAATGAGCATGGGGAATACCCACTTAGAAAATGCAAGGTAAAAAATGCCCTTTTTAAAACAGTGCTCCAATACAGCTACAGATTGTAAATTCAAGATATGAATTTAGAACCTGATTTGAGTAAATATAAGGTGTCTCCCTACATTTTTAAAAATGTGGACAATGCGTATAAATTAGATAATCTCTTTGAAGAGATGTTGCTTGCTAGAAATCAGAAATTGTTCAGCATATACAGGGTGTGTATAAAAAGTAGACAATTTTGAAACTGCTCTCAATTTCACAAATCCGTTAATTTCATGATATTTTTTTATCAATATAGATTGTTTGGGTACTTAAAAAAAAGTAAAATAACGATATGCAAATTAGGTAAACGCATGAATTAGCATGCGTGATGGGCATTGGTGTCCAAAAATGTAAGTTTGAGCAGCTATTTAAAAATATTTCAGACTTTTCAGTGATTTTTCAAAACCTAGCCACGATGTAAAATACCCTTTAATTGATGAGTTCACAGCAACCAGGTATATCAGTCATGTTCTCGTTCACTACTCTGGTTTTAATAAATGAATGCAAAACTCGAATTGCATTCACGACCTAACGTTTCGACACTCCAATCTATATAGTGTCTTCATCAGAAGTGATCTGATGTCGCAACGTGGCTTCTTACAAACCAATGGGATGACGTCATCTACGATCATGGTAGATATATTCTTGTGGCAAATGCACCGTTATTTCTGTTCAAATCAGTGATTACTCATATTTTTTGCCACGCTTCCGGGCAATGTCTTTGCCCTTGGGCATTGCTAGGTGGTAATCACTCCAGCGTTTTCCCACGCAATCACGTGTTTGGTGTCACACACATTTGGCACAAGAACATATCCATCTTGTTGACAGATGACGCCATCTTTGCGACTTCAGATCACCCCTGATGTCAAAACGTTCGGTCGTGAATGCAATTGAACTTTGCATTCATTTATTAAAACCAGCGAAAACATGACTGTTAGAAACTCTTTCTAAACTGTTTAGAGAAATATTGAAAGAAGCTGTACAAAGAGGGGAGTTAACTTTGGAATCTATTCCTATTTTCCTTAAGGTATGCATGTAGTCAAAGTCACCAAACATTTTTTTAATTCAGTTGGCGTAATGCATATTTAATGTAAAAATATTTTATTTTGAAATTATAACTCGGTAAGTGTAATATTATGGCGTTGTAACGAAGATATAATTGTTTCTTAGAATACTCGTAAATAATTCGTGAAGAAAAATCAAAAGTCAATCAATTTATTCAATATATTTGAGTGGTTCAAGTAAAAACGAAACGTTATGTACAGTATACGGAACATGACATTTACTATTTCATAACGAACATAATGTCAACTGTTATAATTATATGTTAAAAAAATCATTCTCTGTAATACGGAGAATGACTTTTTTCAACATAATATTATGTATTAGTTGACATTATATTATGTTCCGTATACTGTACATAACGTTTCGTTTTTACTTGAACCACTCACATTTGTAAATCGGATATAGATTTCGTCCTGATTTATTTAAACTTTATGCTTTTATTTCTAAGCTACTGAGACGGTTGTTCAACCGTCGGTTAGCATAACTCTCGACTAAACTAAAAAAAGCTGTTAACTTCTCAACTACTTTTTTATAAACTTGGAAATGTTTGTTCAGAAATCTTATCTGGACAATAGGTATTGGTTTCTAAAATGTTGAAATAAACAGATCTGCAGACATGTACAAAAATAGGTACGCGACACGTACATGTATCTGCGAAAAAACTTGATTTACATTTTGTATTTTCTTGAAAGAAACTGAATAATGAAGATGACATGGGACAATTGAAATATTTCATCACTTATTATAATGGCAGATAAGATTTAAAACAGGGCTGTACACAGCGGGGAGTGCAGCAGGGCAAGTGCTACCCCACCCCCGCACCGAGAAAATTTAACTAACTTTATAATGTGATTATGATTGTAACAGATAATTATGCAGTCAGGAAATAAAAATTTCATGCAAACAATATTCAAAGTGTCTATACAGCTGGCTATTTAGTAAACTGTCACCTGTCAATTCAATCCATACTCATCAAATTTTCAAAACTTTATTGTAATCATATGAAGCAAAAGTTATGTCACTTGTTGTTTACACTTGCCAATGTTAACTGTTGAGTAACATACACAAAATATTTGGTGAACATGTTGAAGACCACTGAATAATTGAGAATGTTTTGAAGGTCATGAGTGAAGTATATAATTAAATTCCAGTTCTGTGCACAGTTAATGATATACCACACTGTTCGGTTTAACACGTACCGCACATTCACACAAAAACAATTGTGTTGTGGGGATTATCGGCTTGAGTAGAAGGTATCACAAGTTTAGTTTTGTACATTGTGTGCCATTGATCAAATCCACCATATAATATATGATTACTCATTGTAGCTGTCAAGTTACTTTCCATACTAATGAATTTAGGTAAGATTGTCTTGCAAGTTGGTTGTTCTGACAAAGTTATCCAGCCAATATCAAGTACATTTATTCTTCATTCTTGTATTAATCTCTAAAGAAAAATATTTATGTTAGAAAGCAAAATGACAATGTAATGAGGCTCGGGAGGGTAAGGATTCTTTTATTTGAAAATGTTTGTAAACAATTTTGCTTAATTAACTCTAATGTGTAAAACCAAAATGTATAAGTATTTTAACTTATAACATCTTCAACCTTTGCTCTAAGACTACATTTGATGACAGCTTTATAGTTGGACTGTTGTTTTGAACAGAGTTATGGAGTCAATATACAGAAATACAGGACCAGGATTTAATTCAATATCTCCTGAGAATGTTTTCATTGTTTAAAATATTACAGAAGTCACAGAAGGATTGTTTTTAATACTGTATAAATCTTTTTGTGAACTATGTTGACAAATGGCTTAAAATATCCTCGAAAATATCCAATATTTTAACAGTGTAATATATTAATATAAAAATTCCAGAGTGCATTCCATGTAAACTCTACGCCGAAGATACGGCAATACTAACTATAGATAGTATAGTAAATATTTGCCGAACTGGCGAACTCATGTATTATAAAACTTATAAAATATGTGGGACATATATTTGCACAAATTTGGTATTTAAATATATAATATGTGGTATTTGACTACTTACCAGATGAGGATAAGATTCCATGTTGATAAATAACTTCGGAATAATATCGCAAAAGACAGCAAATTCAAGATAAATTGATAAAAATATCAAGATATTTTCGAAAGAATATAAACACGATTTATACACGAGGCCTGACGAGGCTGAAGTATGCCCGTTCGCAGGTTAGATCAGCGGGCACGATGTAAACAATTGATGTAAACGAATCGCTGATTGGCTTAAATTGGCATAAAATGGTTTAAAATATATAAGCTCGTCGCTGAATGGCTATCTGTTAACATACGGTACGGTACGGTAACAGTACGGTACGTTTGCGATAGCATATATATCTGCTTCGCAGATACAAAAATA